CATTAGCACCTCTAGTAATATATTTACTGAGAAAAATGGTGACGTGTTCAATACTTATTTTACCCGCTGTATAAAAGATGCCTTACTGGGGCTGTGTCCCCAGACTCAACTTGTATTGCTTTATGCATGTTGACTCTCATTTTATTGCAATAAAATTACTCAGAGACCATTGTCGTGAAGAACTTTTTTGATCACGTATTTCTGCACGTTGTTTAACAGACATGGAAAAGTTTTTTCTCCACCACAACTGTAACCGTCTATCAAGACTAAATTGGAATTTGATGGTATTGGGCAGAACAGTTCAGTCTAGGAACAGAAACTGACATTTCGATTGCTCTTTTTGTTACTTGGAAGAGATGACCGAGATAAGTGCTTGCTGTCGAGGCACATGAACATGTGTTACAAAATATTTCCACTTTTCCAATTCAGTCCAAAACACCCTACACATTTTTTTATAATGGTGTGGAAAAGAAGAACACAATGATCCATCCATTCATTATCTATACCTGTTTGTTCCTTTCAGRGTCATGGGGGTCATTGGTTCCCATATCCAGCAGTTACAGTGCAAGGGGCGGGGGGACACCATGGACAGGTCGCAAGTCCATCACAGGGCCACACATAGAGACAAACAACCATTCACTGTCTCACCTAGAGACAATTTAAAGTTACCAATGAACCTAACATGTATGTTTTTGGTGTGTGGGAGGAAGCCCGAGTACCTGGAGAAAACCCACACATGCATGGAGAGAACATGCAAACTCTACCCATAAAGGTCCCCCGACCAGGATTTGATCCAACAACCTTCTTRCTGAGRGGCAACAGCTCTACCAACTGAGCCACCGTGCCGCTTTTTGCTACTTTGCGGATCTTTTATGCAGAAACAGAAACAGGGACAGTCCGTTTGGGAGCCGACCCAAGACCGGTGAACCCGCCRGTCTTTGTCTTAAAAGAAAATCTCACTTTTACTCTCCCACCTCATCTCTTCAAGGTCTCAGGAGGAAAGACCCATTGGCCTCAATCTTCCCTGATACCAGACTACTTTAGCCCACTTGTGCCAGTTCTAAAATAAGACCTTTCAGTATTACAGATGAAATGAGGTCTCTGTCATCCAATCCAAACACAAACAAAGCATCTCTCGTGATTTCAAACAATAAAAGCTCAGGTTGGAAGTGGAAAAAAAAAAACACTGAAGTGAGAAACAAAACGTCAGGAGATTCTTATTTCATCTCAAGTTACAGAGATGATGACTTTCACCTCAATGTCACTTTGTTCGAGAGGTCAAGATGAGAAACTCGAGCACTGATCGAGTGAGGAAACCAAGAACCAGACTTTAAATTTGTTTCTGTTTAAATGCAGAAAGCAGGTGTTGGACAGGACTTTGCCCACAAGCTGTCCTCTGTGGACGAGCCTGAACTGAGCAGGGATCAAAACTGTAATATGTGCGCCGGCTGCTCACCATCTCCACTTGCCGGGGGTCCAGCTGGGTGGGAGCGGAGGCTGGAACAGCAAACTGGATCTTCTTCCTCTCCTTGTGCTCCCCCTCATGGGTCGACACGGAGGGCTCCATGGATCCTGGGGTCCTGACTCCCAGCGGAAACCAAAAAAACAAAACTTGTGTGGAGGAACTCTCCTGAAGACTTCTCTCAGACCTCACCTCCTCACCCCCAGACTTATTCTGCCCCTCTGTGGAGGAACTGTTCCCACCTCTGGTCCACTTTCCCTCCCCGGGAGCAGCTGCTGGTCTCTCCTGCCTCTGTGGTCTCTTCTGTCAGAGTCTGGCTGGAAACCTGAGCAGCAGCAGTGCATGTCCACAGATCTGGCTGTGAGGCTGGGAGGTAAGTGGGTAGAGAGTGGAGGGGGAGGGGCCACTGCTCAAAAGAAGGCGGGGGCATCAGGAGAAGGGGAGGGGTCAGAGTAAACAGGGGCGGGGCCGTTTTCAAAAAAAGGGACAGAGGAGGAGCTGCTGTGTTTTTATCTGAGCTGAGGCTGATTTGTAACGAGGGGAAAAATGATAATCTCATCACATCAGCTGAGCCTCTTTTGGCCTCTATTTGTGAATGAGAGATTTATGTTGTGGGGGGCGGGGGGGCAAAGACAGATAAACAAGAGAGTGATGCAGGGGCTGAACTTACTGACACCACTGGATTAAAGCTGTTCACCATGCTGAAAGAGAAAAAACAAGCTGTGATGTGGACAAATGTCCAAAAATCTAAACATTATAAAACGATAAACCTGCAGAAATTAAGGTTTTGCAGACATGCAGTGTGAAATAAATCATTAAAACATGCAGCACAAAAGTTAAAATCAGCAAAATACTGAAAGTAAAAGGTAAAATGATCAAAGCTAAAAGCCTGAAAAGTAAAACAGTTGCTAAAGACAAAAATTAACAAAACTGTAACAAGTGCAACAAAATGTTAGCTAAAATATAAAATTAGCAAAACATTACCAAAAAGCTAAACGAAACAATGCAGTTGCTAAAAGCTATATGCTAAAATGATGAAAGCTCTATGAGCAACAACTTGCAAAATAGCTTAATATAGCTAAACTGTTGCAAAAAGCTAAAATTAGCAAGCCATATCTGAAAGCTACAATTAGCAGTGCTATTGTTAAAAGCTAAATTTGTTGAAAAAATTGTTGGTAAAAGCTCAATTTTACAAAACAGCAACTAAACAAATGAAAACCAGAAATAAAAGCTGAAGTTAGCAAGTCTGCGGCTGTAAAATAAATGTAGCAAATAGTTAAAATAAAATATATATATTAATGTTGCTAAAAATGTTTTTATAACAAAACTGTTTAAATGATGAAAGCTCTAAGCAACATGCGCAAAATAGCTTAATATAGCAAAAGCTAAAGTTAGCAAACCACATCTGAAAGCTACAATTAGCAATGCAAACATTAAAAGCTAAATTTGATTTAAAAATAGTAGGTTAAAGCTCAGTTTTACAAAGCAGTACCAAAACATAGAAATACAAGCTAAAGTTAGCAAGACTGTAGCTGAAAGATAATTGTAGCAAAACAGTAGCTAAAATTATCAAAACAATAACAGAAATGAAACAAAAGTGTCTCTAAGGCCTGTTTATAGCAAAGCTAAAATAATACAAACAGTAGCTRAAAGCTAAAGGTTGTAAAACAACAAATAAAAACTGCAGAGAACAATGTTTTTAATTGTAAATTTTAAGTTTTTTCCTTTGATCTATGAGCATCTCTGGAAACCTAGAAAGATTTGGACATTTGGTTCTGATTTGAAGATAGAAAAGCTTTAAATGGTTTGAAATGTTGCTGTTTCTACAGAGCACAAACGGCAGAGGGATTAGACGTGCTGGACTGCAGATCGGGCCCGGGGACAGAGTTGTGTTGATGTGGACTGAAGCTTTGATGACAGAGGAGGAGGCGTAAAGGTGGCTGCAGGAGCTTCGTGGGCAGAAAATAGAAGGTAGACAAAGAATCTGAGCTTTAATCATCAACAGYGTCCACTTTCTGACATGACAACTAATTTCATTTAAAATAACAGATTAATATGTGTTTCCGAAGTTAATGAATCATTTTCAGTCACCCTTGGGTTTGATTTTCTTCCACAGTGGTTGCATAACTCTGAGTGATCTTCAAGAATTGTGCAACGCTTTAAGAGGAATGAACAATAAGCTTTGTGTAAAAGTTCAGCTGCAGCATTCCAGCTTTAAATCAAACCACTGATTGACAAAATGAAATCAAACAGAGATTAAAACGGCTGAATGATTCATCCTGTTCTCTCCAACATTAATAAAGTCTGTTCTTTTTTTGTGTCAAAGCTCTGCCTGTGTTGAAAAAAACTTTATTTGATGTTGTTGTTTTTTTTTTTTTGGAAGCTCGCCTCAAAAATCCACATTTCTTGTTCTGATCTCAGCTCCSTCTGTTCACCTCTCACTTCAAAAAAAGGCTCGTCCAGAAAAAACGAAGCAGTTAATCTGCAGCTTTTTCTGCTCTTTGCAATTCTTGGAATAGAATCCGACAAGAAGTCTGCTCACAGGTTGTATTTTAGGAGATGTTTTTCCTTTTTAGAGGGCTTGTTTTGCACATATCTCCTCTCACTCTTCATCACACAGTGCTCCATTCGCACACTCTCTGTGGTCAGGTGGTTTGTAAAAACAAGATCTGTAGCAGGATTAGGGATTATATATATATATATATATATATACACTCACCGGCCACTTTATTAGGTACACCTGTCCAACTGCTCGTTAACACTTAATTTCTAATCAGCCAATCACATGGCGGCAACTCAGTGCATTTAGGCATGTAGACATGGTCAAGACAATCKCCTGCAGTTCAAACCGAGCATCAGTATGGGGAAGAAAGGTGATTTGAGTGCCTTTGAACGTGGCATGGTTGTTGGTGCCAGAAGGGCTGGTCTGAGTATTTCAGAAACTGCTGATCTACTGGGATTTTCACCCACAACCATCTCTAGGGTTTACAGAGAATGGTCCGAAAAAGAAAAAACATCCAGTGAGCGGCAGTCCTGTGGGCAGAAATGCCTTGTTGATGCCAGAGGTCAGAGGAGAACGGGCAGACTGGTTCGAGCTGATAGAAAGGCAACAGTGACTCAAATAACCACCCGTTACAACCAAGGTAGGCAGAAGAGCATCTCTGAACACACAGTACGTCGAACTTTGAGGCAGATGGGCTTCAGCAGCAGAAGACCACACCGGGTGCCACTCCTTTCAGCTAAGAACAGGAAACTGAGGCTACAATTTGCACAAGCTCATCGAAATTGGACAAGAGAAGATTGAAAAACGTTTCCTGGTCTGATGAGTCTCGATTTCTGCTGCGACATTCGGATGGTAGGGTCAGAATTTGGCGTCAACAACATGAAAGCATGGATCCATCCTGCCTTGTATCAACGGTTCAGGCTGCTGGTGGTGGTGTCATGGTGTGGGGAATCTTTTCTTGGCACTCTTTGGGCCCCTTGGTACCAATTGAGCATCGTTGCAACGCCACAGCCTACCTGAGTATTCTTGCTGACCATGTCCATCCCTTTATGACCACAATGTACCCAACATCTGATGGCTACTTTCAGCAGGATAATGCRCCATGTCATAAAGCTGGAATCATCTCAGACTGGTTTCTTGAACATGACAATGAGTTCACTGTACTCAAATGGCCTCCACAGTCACCAGATCTCAATCCAATAGAGCATCTTTGGGATGTGGTGGAACGGGAGATTCGCATCATGGATGTGCAGCCGACAAATCTGTGGCAACTGTGTGATGCCATCATGTCAATATGGACCAAAATCTCTGAGGAATGCTTCCAGCACCTTGTTGAATCTATGCCACGAAGAATTGAGGCAGTTCTGAAGGCAAAAGGGGGTCCAACATGTTACTAGCGTGGTGTACCTAATAAAGTGGCCGGTGTGAATACATACATATATATATATATATATATATATATATATATATAAGTGTGGAATTTAGTTCATGCAAAAAGCTGATTGTCAGTATTAAAACAATTCAGGTTCATTTCATGCATCTGGATGCTGAAGGAAGAGAGCACATTTTGGTGTTTTCAGTTACAACATTTCAAAATAAAAGTCTGTAGTTCCCAGTCTTTAGTTTTGCAGATCTAAGTCTTCAGATTTTTATTGATTGATTGATTGATTGATTGATTGATTGGAGCACAGTGAAATGACATTTAAGAATACCCATTCAAGAAGACACACATGACAAAAACACGAGGGAACAGGTGATCAGGTCATGGTTATTTTGTTGAATTAAACAGGCTGATGTTTGAAGAATCTAATTCAAACTGGACTTTAGAGTTGTTCTTTTCCTACGGTGAGTAAATCCAAGTAAATCAAGATAATATTAAAAAAATCAGAACAAACAAGAACAATGCTGTCAGAATGAACGGCAGAACAGAATCAGCCACAATGTAAACAAGGAATTTAAATATTTCCCTTTTTTTATAATTTAAGGCCTGTTGAAGGAATGCATATCATCATCACAGCTCAGAGTCTTAAACTACAAATGAGAGGTTTRGAGTAGTTTTGGTCAAACCTTACAATCATGCTCTGTTTGAGCAGTGAATAATTTGTGAATGTTTCATCAAAATCCATCCACTGGTTCATGAGAAATTTTCACAAAAATAAACAGACAGATACTTAACAAGACTCGTCATTCATCCTTGTTACTTTGATACATTTGGGAGATGAGCTATATTACACAAAACACTAAGTAAAGMCAGTTTTTTAAAAGATTTTAACAGATTTAAAGCTTTTATTTTCCTATAAATGACTAAACATTCAGGCACAAAAAGAAATCCAGGAAATCTGTTTTGTTTTGATTTCTGCCCCATCAGTTTGTCTGCATCTGAGAGGCTGACACACACACACACACACATACACACGCGCGCACACACGCACACGCACACATACACACACACAACCTATCCTCTTTTGTCTGCATGGATTATAAGCGAGGAGAAAGTGTCAGGTAAGCTTTCAAATCGATTTCACCAACATGTCAGAGCAGCCAGGCACYGTTAAATCCACAAATTGTCAAATGAACAAATTAACACACACTGAGGAGCCCAAACAGCTCTAATTATAAACTCAATAAATACTCTCCAGTATATTGAACAGATGATTTTAATCTATTATTCTAATTCAGSACTGTTTGGGTTGATTTGTTAGTATTTAATCTGTTGTTTTTACACTGTTACATTAAAGGTCTGGCCTTTTTTTCAAGAAATATCAACCAATACTGTGCAAAGGTTAGTATTTAACTGTGTGTTGTGAACCACATCAAAAGTTAGCTCAGTGTTTTGTGTGTTGAAAAGCCAGTTATCTCTGGAATCATACTTCCTCAACATTACATCCTCACATTTTGAACAGTGCCCTGAGATGACGTTTGTTGTTTCCGCCTCCATAATCTTTCTCCACCATCGGCCTCCAGCATTTGCAGACATCATCTGCCAGCCCGGACCTTGAATGGGCCAGTCAGGTACTAAATTCCCGGGCCACTTTTTTGCCCCAGTCCGCCCCTGTGTAACTTTATGAATGCAAGTCCCTTATTTCTGTCGTGAAGCTTCCCATTTACAAATGTATCGAGCAGAGATGCAGATGATTCCACCTCTATTTTTACCGAGCTCCTCTGTGTTTAAACGTTTTGTTGAAGGCCAGTAAATCACTGTTTTGGCAGAAGCCAAAGGAAAAACCTCCTGAAGATAGACGACGCTTCTGAGCCTCGGAGCAGCGGGTCTGATCGTTGCTCCAGCAGTAAGCAGAGACGAACTGAACCAAATGTTTGACGTGTACAGTCATGGACACACACACASAGACCCTGGAGACACTCCAAGCAGGCTCAGAAGACAGAATGTAAAAAAATAAAATGTGTAACTCGATCTCCTCCTGAACATCTTGATCCGGTCAGAGCAGCAAAACACTGATAAACACCTCCACAGTAATTCACCCTCCACACCCCCCACCTGAGCTGCGGTGAAGACCAGGTGTGCAATCTGAACAAAAGACATGAAAACCAACATTTCACAAGTGTTTAAAATCAGTAATTAGCTGATAGATTCTGCAGAGGATCTTAGAGACAAAAGGTGGGAAAAAAATCCTTTAAGCAGAAYCAGAAAGAAGCTTTGTGCCCAAAACAACAGGTGGTCATTCTGTGGAGACTGATGACAGCCCCCCACCCCCACCCCTCAAACACTCCTATTTAATTATATCAAATAGCATCACACAACAAACACACTGTTTGTTGACCTTTTCGTTTGATTCAGGATACTTTTGCTTCATCTGCTGGTCAACTGCTGCAACTACAAGGGTTCTGCTGCTTTACTATCATAGCAGAAGAATTATTATAACTCAGCCAATTTGACAGACATTAAGCTCAAATTTAATCTGGTAGTAGCTGAGAATCATCCCCAACAGCCACTGTGAGCATGACCTCTCACAATGTTGCATTAGATTGAGCTAAATGCTAATATCACATCCATTTCAGATCTTATAAACTGGCATGAAAGGTGACGAGGAGCATGAGGATTGCAAGATATTTGATTTTAAAAAAGGTTTGATTTGTTACTTTGAGTCCAATTTTCAGGTTGAATACTTTTTTTCAGCCTCTCCCATTGAGAGGAGACCCGGGGGCAGATCAAAACTCACTGGAAGTCGCTGGAGGGTCAAAGGGGAGAGGTTGGTACTGGWTTCCAACCTGGACCTGTTGCTCTTTGACCCGACCACGCTTAGCACCACAGTCTGTGGTCTGTCTGCTTTACTCTGCAAGAATCAGAAAAACAAAGTTGYGATAAACATATAAAGCAGGGGCGGAGCCAGAGGGGTGGCCAGGGTGGCAACACCTGACACCTGATTGGCCATCCCAGGTGTCCTCTATTAATTAATGACAAACTTGTTTTGTTAGCTGGAGTAGCTTTCAGAATGTCAAACAAATTACACATGGCTACTGCCAARCCAAATTTCAGCTCAGTATTTCTATATATGACCAAATTTGAAATTAGCTTTGGCAGCCATCTTGAATTTTGTATTTGAAATCAGATTTTGTAAGACTGTTTCTCAGCTACTGCTACACTTATTTTTATATGAGCGTTTAAGAATGGCTAAATTATAGCTTTTTATGAAATTAGCATTAGCAGTTATCTTAGGTGAGACTAAAATTAAAAATGTTTTTTGTTTTATTATTATTTTTTTTAATCATTGGCTACAATCACACTGAATGTCAGCTTAATATTTCTTGTAACTGCTGAATTAGAGCCATTTGAAATTAGCTGTGGTGGCCATCTTGCACTTTTAAATCCAGAGTCGTTTTTTTTATCTGTATGCCCCCCACCCCCAATAAGAAAATACCTTGGCCACCCCACCCTGTGCCACCCCATGCAAAACTGTCTAGCTCTGCCCCTGATATAAAGAGAATTTTGGTGACAGCATCGTTAAGGTTTTTCTGTACACTCCTCTGGTACAAAGACAGTACATTATAAAAAAAATGAGTTATTTGGGGCTATTAATGATATTTTGACAAGAATGAAGAATAATCATGATGTGACTAAAACTTCATAAACAACAACTCTTCCAGAGGAAGATGCACCTGGACCATTCATGTGTTTCTTTCCTGTCCCCMCAAACCCAGCCGGTCCAGGCAGATGGCCGCCTGTCCTGAGCCTGGTTCTGCTGGAGGTTTCTTCCTGTTAAAAGGGAGTTTTTCCTCTCCACTGTCGCCCATGTGCTGCTCAGGATGGGAGACTGTGATGAAGTGATTCAACACAATCTGCTGGCTTCTTTAGATTGATTTTTTGTGTACAGTGGCCTGAGACGACTTATGTTGTGACTTGGCAATAAGGGGGAACATTTTCTGAAACCTACCAGTAGATGGCAGTATTTGGTTACATTTATTTCTTTAAAAAAAGGCTGAAGCTGATTTTAAAGACTGAAACTGAAATGTTTGTTGAGAATAAAAGCAAACTTTTTTTTCTTGATTTTGGACCTAAACCTGAACTGAACCTTGGCTCCAACCTGCAGCCTCAAGATGGCAAGACCACCGAGATACCACAGCCCTACAGTCCTTAATAAACAACCATCTTTAATGTGGAGACTATGAGTCTCAGCTCATCAGAGAGACTGTCAGTGTTTGTGTTTCTGTAACCAATAAAGTAAGACAGGGTGCTGAAGACGTAGCAGGTGGAAGAGATGGTGAAGGCAGAGCGATGGAGGAGGACATGGCAGTAGGGCAGTGATTTAATTAGCACCCTCTACCCCCTCCAGCCCTTCACTCATAGCATCAATAATGCATGGCCCCTTGTTTCCACTGCCATAATTAATCCTCTCTTACTATAATTAAAAGCCAAAAATCCCACAAGATGGTTGGGCTCGGCCAGGCGAGGGGCAGGGTTGGCACGGGAACTGATGAAACCCTCGCCCTGTGGACAGACAGCTCGACGGATAGACGTGTTGACAGAGAGAGATGGACAGGAAGTCACAGGAAGGGAGACGGGCCGAGGCGTGCAGGAGAGCTGAAACGACTTGGCGAGCGACACGTGATGGAAGAATCTGAGACTGAGAGTTGATTTCTGCATTCTGTGAAATGAGAAAGAGAAGTGAGGACAAGACACACACACACACACACACACACACACACATACACACACACACACACAGGCATGCACACGCTTACTTACAGAAGCATCCAGCTCCCAGGTGAGGTTNATCCAGCTCCCAGGTGAGGTTCGTCTCTGCTGCAGCCAAGCCAGACAAGAGGGAGAGGCGGAGCTTCCTGATGCTGCAATTAGGACCACACTGTCTGAGCGAGAAAACCAAAATGAATTATTTCAGTCCAGAGATCTCCATGGGTGCCTATGGTGGGGGCCTTCCTGGCATACCTACTGACACACACACACAAACACACACACGTTATTAGACCATTCATTGATTTCCATTGATTTCCAGTCATTTCTACAGCCTAACCCTGACCACCAATCCTAAAATTAACCTCACTGGTACCTACATGACCCTAAAGCCAACCTAAACTCAATTCACAGCTTGGTCCTAAACCAAACCCCCAACCCAAAAATGGAGTTCCACCACATTGGAACCAGGCTTTGGTCCCCATGCCAGAAATGGTCCTAAATAGGTAACAAAAACAAGCACATGCACACACGTCCTTGTATTTGCATCAAACTGAGGACTTTGTATTGACTTCCATTCAWTTTTGTGACTGTATTTATGCCTAACCCAGACATTTTCCATAAAACTAACCATTACTGGTCTATAGTTAACCCTAACCTGAACTAGAACTTAATTCACATCATGCCTCTAAACCTAACAAGTTGAGCACAGCAGAGTTACAAAGTGAGGACACTGAAGAGGTCCTCACTTTACATGAAAGACCTCACTTTGATAGTAACCATGGCACAAATGGTCCTCACCCTATAGTCAAAACAAGTTCACACTCACACACACACACACGTCTGCCAGATTTGTGCACCTTCTAATTGCAGATGCCACAATTATCACATCCGTATCTTTGCGTAAACAATGCCAACTGTTCTGCTCGTTGAACTCTTGCACAGTTTGCAGCAGGAGCACTGGTAAGTACGGGCTGATGTGGTCCTAGTTGTGTTCTTGTTGTCGTTTCCTCGGTGGGAAAGGGTGCAGTGAGCATCCAGGTTTGGCACTGTTCCAGGAAGCRGCGCAGTCAGAGGAGCAGAGGTCACTCCTCCGCCTTCGTTTCTTTCCTGCTCCACTTGGTTCACGTCAGAGGCCACGCCGGACCTGTACAGCGTGCAGTGAGCAGTCCCCTCTGGTGGAGAGCCGCCCTCCTCCTGCCCCCACAAACCGCCGCCCCTCCCCCCCATCTCCACTTGATTTATCACCCTAAAATACCACTGCACTAATTAGTCAAGTAATTAATTAATAGGCATTTGCATTTGTGCATATGCAATTAGGGGGCTGGAGAGAGGAGAGTGCAGATGGGGTCCGGGAATCTGGTGTGAGGAGGAAGGGTGTGTGTGTGTGTGGGGTGGGGGGGGGTCCTTTTGTGTACGTGTGTGTTTTTGTGCCGTATCTCATATTTAAGGCGGCAGAAGTTTGCACCTCTCAGAAAGACGAGCGGAGTGCAGGTCATCACCTCTCATGTCTGACAGCAAGGGGAAAGGATGGAGGGGTGGGAGGGGCTGACGAAGGTGTAGTGGGTGTGGCCTGAACAGAGGCTGAGGACGAGGAGTGATAGAGATGTATATCTTAAAGGGGAAGAGCTCCAGTTTTGCTTTTTGAGTGCAGTGCAYGGAGAAGCACAGCAGGTGGTCTTTGCTTGGGTTAATCCGCACACAGACTGGATGCAAAGTGATTCTGAAGCGCCATAAATCCCAGAAAGCTCTCTCCTCTGGCGTTTTAATRTCAGATCAAAGCCCTCCTGATCGGWGCTGCTTTGAGCCCCGAACCCGTTGGCTAAACCCGAGCTGTTGACATTTAGCGTTTTGCTTTGGCAAG